ATTTTAAATTACTTAAATGTAATATTAAAATGTCTCACCTGTCTCTTAGTTTTTAAATTTTAATATGGCTATTACAAAATTTAGAATTACATATGTGGCTTACATCTGGGGATTATGTTTCTATAGGACAGTGCTCATATCGATCAAAATTACTCATTTATATCAGACACAATAGAAATCTATAGCTAGAGGTAGAGAATTTTATTTGATATAACAAAACAATGGTATTAGATTCAACCACAAAGAGCAAAAGATATGAACATTTTTGACAATGCACATAGAAAAACAAGATGCTTAATATGATAACAACATTTTCCTAAAATGCCTCAGTTATTGAACACCATATGAAAATAGCAGGGTGTCAATATCAGCAGCATGTATAAAACCAAGCATTAAAATTTGATCAAAGTAATATACTAGGCAGCTTTGCTACCAATCAGCTTTGTTTACCATCAGCTCAAAATATCTTTATGCCAACAGAGTAGATAGAATATTTAGGTTAATTCAAGCTACCCAATATTACCATAAACTTGGATAACTACAGTTAAGACATTATTTTCTTTTGAGATGCAAAAGTGATCACAGCAACAGTAAATCATTTCCCTGAATTGAGAATTTTATCCAAATAAATTCCACATACCTTCTAGATATGTTTTTATAATACTTTATATAATACAATATGTTTTATTATAAAATAATAATCTCTCCATTCAATATTTATATTGTTGCTCATGGCTATCCTGTATAGAGTTTCCAAGGAGCGGCTGGTGGGTTTGAACCACTAATGTTGGGGTTAGCAGTCCAGTGCTTATCCTACATCCCTAATATAAATTGAGAATTTAATTTATATAAATGTCACATAGTTTTCAGATTTTTAAACAACATATTTTAATAGTGATAACTCTTTATGTGATATTTATAGTGATTTGTATTTAAAAGGATTTCAACTATTGAGATTTTTCTTGTCTTTATAAAAATAACCTTAAATATGCAGTAAGGCTGCTCACAGAGTTAGTTACATCCTGTTGCATGAGGCTCTGTAGGAGGGGAAGGGAGATCTCTGAGGTCATGAGGCACACGGGGCACTGGCTTTGGAGACAGAAGAGTAGGCTTTCTCTCAGCATTCATGAGTGTGTGAACTTAGCCGTGATTTCACATCTTCACCTCGTTGTACTTACTGGTAAAATGGTGAGGGTGAAGAGTAGTAGTTGTAATGCAGCTCATACATGATCCTTCATCCTAAATCATCCCTCAGTAGGGAGCTACCAGTCTTTTTACAGTTCAGGAAGCCGAGGTCCAGAAAGCGGAAGTGATTTACCTAAAGTTATGAGTCCTGATGTGGCGCTGCAGGGTAATGTGCTGGACCGCAAAGTCAATTTGAACCACAAGGTCAGAGGTTCAAACCCATCATTCGTTTTTCAGAAACCCTATACAGAATTGCTATGGGTCGGAACCGACTCGACAGCCCTTAACAACAACAACAACAACAACATTACAGGAAGATAATTTTGGTGCTAAATGGTTAATTGCTTAGTTGCTGACTGAAAAGTTTGAATTTACTCAGTGGCTTTGAGGGAGAAAGATCTGGTAATTTGCTCCGGTAAAGATTACAGGCAAGCCAATCCTATGGCACAGTTTTTGTCTGTCACACAGAGTCACTATGAGTTGAAATCAACTTGATGGCACTTAACAACAACATATCCCAGGAAGGGAGTAAAGTCA